TTATGCGTTTGAAGAAAACTTATGGATGATGTTAAGCGGAGATAAGTATACGAGCAGACATTTCCATCGCTATTTGTTGGATAAGGCAGTGGGATCGGGACAAATCTATAGGTATAAGAAAATTAACTAAGGTGGGAGACTTTTGAAGATGAAAGACATCACCTTTTTGGGCGAATCTATCTATCAACAGTACAGTATATTGATATGTTAGAATAGAATAGTTGAATGCACAATGCGGTGGGCTATCGCCTGATAAATGGCGAACTAGAGGAATTGTTGATTCACTTCCTTCTCCTACTTCAGCTTCCTGTCTTGATCTATCGTTGAAGTCCCATTAAAGGTCCTTCTTGCAACATTTGGAATTGGAATAGTGCACAGCAAGGCACGACATTGAAATTGCGTTCCACTACCCCACTCAGTTGTATCAACGGGCTTCAAGGCAGTGCATCAAAAAGTCTAGCCTTTCGCGGACACAATGCGGAATTCCTCTGTGCATTCTAAGTGGTAAATCGGTGATCGGTCCACTCACTCTCACCACAAGTGGATCGGTCACCAGTCCAAAGACCTCGTAGCAGTGACTTCACTGAATCCCCCACCTCCATTTGCCTAGGGGCAATGAACTACAAGAATCACCTTCTCTCACTAGCAAAGGCAACAAGCTTCAGTCATACCTTCCAGAAGGATTAGGCCTGAATAATTAAGAGCGAGTTGATGCCCAAACTTATACCTTTCTCACGTAAACAAGCGCATGAACCTTTCTACTGCCTCACACGATCTAAGACACCATTGTCAAAAACCATGCAAACTTTTTGCATCACCTGGTGCGAGGTCAGAAGTCCTTCCCAGGCCAGTTCAGTTAAATACCTCTGTTTAATCGGAGCGTAATCAAGTCGTTAAATGTTTTGCATAACGCTTTTTTTTGTTCGTTGACTAAATGCACTCTAAAAATGTGATTCATTGCACATGAAGTAGGAAGTCTAAGGAACACTACCAATTCACTTAAACAAAGTGCCTCCACTCATCTCTCCTCTCTATTACACACTTCCATCAAATGGCGTGGCTACGAAGGTACTTGACTCACCTGCAGACCAACACGAATCCGTTTTTGAAGTGCACCCTCAGGAAAGACGGCCTGAACTTGGGGCACAACAGTGGAGCTAAGAACGCCACCGTCTGAACCAATTAGTGCGATCTCCTGACGCAGACGACTGACCACAGCAAGGTACTGAGGGAAATCATTCATCAAGACACGCAAAATTCGCTTCTCCTTCAACTGTTCTGCGGTCTCCAGTGAATCTTTTAAAATACAAAGCGATAGTATTTAACGGTATTTATATTCAACCTACACCCTTCGATCCATTCATAGTATCAATGGATGCAAAGAACTGAGAGACGCTTTCAATTTGGAAGGTAGATCAGTGTAGCAACACCTTCTGCGTCGGACGCCCATCGGTGGAATGCATTTCACTGGGTGATTCATCCTCGGTCAATGTGAATGCATTCGGTTATGCCCAGAGTTAGGCACACCGCCTACAAACTAAAAGTGGCGTGCTGTTGTGGCAAGCGTCACTGCATTGCACCCAACCCACGATCCGCATTGACCTTCAGTACTGCCATTACTTCATTTCAAAGGCATAAACAACTCCTCCTATTTTATCCTTGAAAAATTGTAGTGTTGTGCAATGGTATCGAGACAGTTGGAAATGGTCCGATCCAATTGTAACCAAGAGTAGAGCGTCAGTGGAACAGAAGCACTTCTACTGCTGCCACCATGAGAGAGTTGACTTGTTCATGTGAAGCACAATTTGGTTAATTCGAAGAGAGGAGTACAATGTCAC